CCCCTGCTTGTGTCTTTATCTGTTTAAATTCCCTAGTGTTGGTTTCGGTTTCCCTTTTTCCTTGGTTAATTCTTAGTTTCCCTGTTTTGTTCCTTGAGTTCATTAGTTCCACCTGTTTCCTGTTCTTGTGCCTGCCCTTGTGTTTTCCCTGATTGCTCGTTGTCCTGCACCTTCCCCAATTGGTTAATTGCTTGTCTCACTCCTGCTGCCTCGTTACTCTGTTCAGTTTTCCTATTTAAGTTCCTGCCTGAGTTTAGTTCACTAGTGGTTCATTGTTGATTGATTGTGTTGTTGTGTGGTCTGTATTTGGTTTGTATTTGGTTTGTATTTGGTTTGTATTTGGTTTGTATTTGGTTTGTATTTGGTTTGTATTTGGTTTGTATTTGGTTTGTATTTGCGAGTTGATGTTAGATGTGTATCTGGTTTTTGTTATTTAGTTTTTGACCCCTCGTGGTCCGTTTTGATTTTGTAGTTTCTTTCTGTTTTATTTAATAAACCCTGTTTTGTTTTCCTGGAGTCGCAAGTGGGTCGTCCGCCCTTTTTTGTGTACCATGCCTCGTGCCCGAGCTGCCCGCAACCATGACAATTAACTATGCAATTGTAATTTAACTATTATGTGAACAGCTAGATGGTGAATAGCAATAAGAGAACTGTTTCTGATACAGTTAATCAGCGGACATACTCCACTTTTTATGAACATGTTGAATGATTTTTATCATAAATGTTTTGATGTTAAAGATTTATTTTTTCCCATTGTTTTTCTCTTTCTGTTCAAAGCTCACTCCCAAGGATGCAGGCTGCATCAGGGTCAGAGCAGTCTCCTGCTTCTGCAAAAACTGCTTCATTCCAATAAATGAGAATTTACATTATCTGTTTGCTTAACAGTGGCACAGAAAAGGAGGGAGGAGAAGCAGACAGAAGCACAACTGAAGCTGGGAAATGGATGCTGGTGGAGACATTTATCCAGGCGCTGTTACACAATACTGATGGCCAAATGAAGTTTCATGAACCATTTGCTGTATTTTTTGACCCCACTAGATGGTGCTCTTTGGGCCGTGCCTTGAGTCCTTTTTGAACAGGGAGCACCATCTAGTGGGGTTAGAGAGTACAGCAAATAGTTCATGAAGCTTCTATTGCCCATCACTATTACTAATGTGAATTAGTTCTATTTATCCTAGTGACCTATTCCATTAGGGGAAATGAAATCCTTCACATTACTGCAACATAAAATCTCATCCTCTGCAACAGACTTTTCATTACCATTATGCATGAAAATAAAAAAGGTATTTTTATATTTTGATTTTTCAGAGGAATTAATTTGTTTATTTATTATAATGTTCTTAACATGTGTGTTCCATACGCTACTTGTTGTTCAAAATGATAATAATTTGAAAAAATGGGCACTAAATAATCTTATGTATATTGGTAATAGGAGTTTTGAAATATGATAAAAAAAATACATAAAACACAAAAACATATTTTTGATGCATTGTGCTGTTCATTTAATGTGGTAATTCGGGTAAATATGAAGAATTCCGCAAAAAAGTTTTTTTTAATTGGTGGTCTGCTTTCCTTGTTGACCATATAGGTAATGAGTTATTCTGGATCATGAAATTATGAAATGGAAATGAAATTGAATTAATTTGTTTTTCTGTGTAACTTTTCTGAAATGATAAATGTCCACATTCTATTTCAGTCACAGGAGTTAAAAAATCTGTCAAATTATTTTAATTATATTTTGATGTCACATTCATACAGTTCGTGAGAAGCACCCTCTCATTAAATGTAAATGAAGTACATTTTAAAGAACATTTTAAAACAAATTTGAGGAAGCATTTCTTTACACAGCGTGTAGTCAGAGTATGGAATAGTCTTC